TAGGTGCTTAGTTATTAGATGTGCTAATCTGCATCTTTCAACTTAAAACTTCTGTGTAGCACCACGAGTAAAGAAAGCTTCACTGTGGTGGTTGACATGGAGTCAAGAGGAGGAATCCAGTCTGAAGATAAGCTGCAGCTATTTAACAGCACTGATGGCAAGTTCTTCCTCCAGTGAAAGTACAGACTTGCTGTGTTCTGCCCTGTGTTCAACAATTACAACCTTATCAGTATCCTGATCAGCATTTCAGCTTTGTTATCAGAAATTTATTTATTTTAATGTGTCCCTCCATGCTCAGTGTCTGTTAAACATTGATAACCGTGCATGAGGTTTGGGGATGTATAACTACTGCAATGTTTTCAAAAAAACCCCAACCTGGAAGTTCTTTTCTGACTTGAAGACTAGAAGATGAAATGTTTCAGGAACCATAATAATAGAAGTATAAGATTGAATACTGCTTCAACACCCTAACCCACCTCTCTCTTGGGGAGTTCCCCTATACAATGGAATCTGGCGTCTTTGTGCACTTCCCCTCTTGTATTCAAAAGGGAATCTGCAGTGCTGAGCCCAGTACTTCCTTGCTGCTGAGTAGCTGAATTGACGATGTCTGATAGTGCCCCTGAGTTTTGGAACGTGACTGTTATATTTCTGGCGTTTGGAATGTGTGTGTATTGCAAATACACATACAGATGTTTCTTTGTTCAACACTTTTTATATATATGTTCAGCACTCTGTAACTGAATATGGGAAGGAAAGGGGTTTTTTGTTCATTCACGTAGATAATCAGTAACTGGAAAATAGTTCTTACTAAATAAAATCATCAACTGGAAGGGATTTCCTGACACTGATAAGATTTCCTAACTTCCTGATTGAAGTAGGACTACTGCCAGTGCTGAATCATCCTCCTTGCTTGCTGAATCCTTGAACATCTCCTCAGGCAGAGGGTCTGTAAACTGTGTTTAATCGGTCCATAGTTACTCCTCTGTCTTAAAGAGAAGTTTTGTCCTAACATCTGATCTTTGCCTCTGAAGCAACTATTTCTGGCTGCTACTTATTAATACTTGTGTCACATCCACAAAGGGTTGGAAATCTTTGTAGCTGCTGTTCACATATCCAGACCGTTATATCTCCTCTTAGTCTCCACTTTTTTTTTTTACCAGACAAAACAAGTCCAGCTCCCAAATCTGTTCTCATAAATTATTTGCCCTGGGCTGTTTGTCTTGGTGGCCATTTTGCTGGACCCTCCTTCTTTCTCCACATCCCACTTGAAGTGAACAAGGATGGTACTAGCCAGCCTCACAAGTCCCAAATAATGGAGGATAAGGTATTCTGAAGTAAGCAACCTGTGCTGTATCTCAGTATGGGGTTTGCCTTAATGTTCCCAAGGTCCTGCTTTGACATCAGTTGTTGCCCATAAGTTACTGTTGTCTGGGAATTTGCTGAGAGCGTTCTGTGCATCCTCAACCGGGGGTTACTGATGTTGGTATTAATTGTTGTGGGCCCTGTAATCAGTTTTTAGGGCACTTTGCTGCTTACTGAGCAGCAGCAGGCTGTGCTGCGCTGTTCATCGTTTCCCTTTGAGCATGGCAGCCCAGCTGATTTTCAGCTCATTGATCAGTCTGATATGCTTTAGGGAAAACTTTGTGTTTTGGTTTTGGGGCACTTAAGAAATATAATTTACCTTATTAGTAATATTACAAAGCCATGTGGCTAGGAACCATGAGTTAAATGTTAGCCTGGAAACCTGCTGTTGCTGAATTGGAGAGTGTTTAAGATCATAAACGCTTTGTTAAATTTTTGCTGGGAACAATTATATTTTCTAAATGCCTTTTTTTTTTTTTTTTTTAAATAAGGACACCCCCCTCCCCCCCCCCAATTGCATCCTTTGGTAATAGCAGCAGCTATAACTTAATTTTTAGCTTGACCATATTTGTAAACTGTAACCGTGTTAAGGCAGACTGCACTGTGAACTGCTTCTGGTGCAATTCTCTGTAAATGCAGTTTGTTCCTAGAAGTAAAACAAAAATAAAGCACTAAAAATCTTATTTCGCAGGACTTGTTCGTGTCATTTAGTGTTTGACCATGTTGTCAGTCTGCAGATGCTGGACCTGGAATCTGACTTGAGCTTCAGACACTAGCTGAACAACTCTGAATTGTTGTACTTGCAGAGTACCTGGAGATCTTCTTTCGTTCTTACTACCAGAAATTTTGAAGCATTTAACTGAAAAAAATGCATAATTTATATAATGCGGGCATCTCGCTGGACACCTGCTCCCGCTCCAACAAGGAATCATGGGAGATATGCTTTCCCAGACCCTTCTCCTATGTTAATGTTGCAGAGTTGTTTGCAAAATGTTTACAACCATGATTTGATTTGATTTGATTTACAGCTTTGGTAACTATCTCTTAAGTGCCTGTGTTGTGCAGAAAGAGGAAAAAAAAATATGTATACAACATGTTGTGTTTGCCATGAGTATAGAAAACTTCATTTCAGTAGGAATCACATGTGCAACTATGTAATTTAACTCAAACTTCCACTTTTTCCAGTAAATGAGTATTAGTGTGTCACCTTGTTTTAATCTTGAATGCTGTGACTTACAAAATACTGACAACATCATTAAAGCGTGGTTGTTAGTCTGTGTCTATGGATTTGAGGGGCTGTGGAGTAAGGAGTACATTCCAAAGGAAGGAGAAGTACCTTTATAAAAATACATCTGAAAATTCATTTTGAAGCTCTGAGTGATTAAGCATATATTCAGAGCCCTATGTAAAAGAAGATGCAATTTGATGACTATATTAATTGTGTCTGGGACTGTGTACAGGCTCTAAATGTTCAGACCAGAAGTTTTTTGTTGAGTACCTCTGACATAGATTGATTGTCATGCATGGTACTGAAGAGTTAAAATAATTAAAATAAGTAGCCAGTATGAAAAGCATTTAAAAATCAAGTAAGAATTTAATATTCTGGGCTTCTGTGAAAGTCATGCGTTTGGTATATTGTGTCGATGGGGGAGGGGAGTGGAATGAGAGACTTTTTCTGAGACCGGTGAAGTTACAAAAGAAAACTGTATCAAGATGGAATACCGAGCCCATATTAAGCCTTAAAATGAAAATAACTGTTCTATTCTGTAACATGTTTGGATGACCTACTAGGTACTTAATAAAAGGAAATGAGAAGTAGTCTGACTGTCAAACTGTTATCCTAGGTCCCGCAGCTCCAGTCCAAACTCCGATGAAGTATGAAGCACAGAGACCAGGTAGCTGAATATAACTGACCTAATTTTCTTTTCAGATGCAACTTTGAAATCAGTTGTTTTGTTTTAATGATGACTAAAGCAGGTGGTTGATTTTGGTCTAGAAAGAAGCAGTGCAAGCTGCTGAATGTTTGAACTATTGCTTTTCCTTTGTGCACTGGTTAATTTTCTTTCCTAAGAAAAGGTCTTAGTAGAATATGAAGTTACAAGTATTTTCACAGAAGGACTTTCGAACTTGAGACATACTTTCTGCCTTCATGATTATCTGATATCTTACTGCATTTAGCTAATTTTTGTTGGTTGTTGAAGTTTTCAATAAAAAATTTTGCATCATGCTCTCTGTACATAGATGATACAGTGGAAGTTTGACAAACCAGCAGCATATAAACCAAGAACTGTATGATGAGTTTGCTATTAAGGTGATACTAAGACAGGAATATTTAGTTGTATTTGAGGAAATAATAAGAAAATGACCTTGAAGAGACCTTTAACTTTTTTCTGTGTGGATCTTTATTAAGTCCAGAAGACCACATGCCTTTCTCTGTCAGTTTGGCAATAACCAGTTCACACTGAGCTGCTGCACAGCCACACAAATGCACGAGAACTGCATAATACATTTATGTTTGTAAGAATCTTGTTTATGGAGATGAATTATATAGCGCCAACTTGTTACATGCCAATTCTGTCAGAATATGCTACTGCTGCGTGTCACCTCAGGCAGAATAACAGCAAAACAACATAGGAAGATTTTAACAAGACTGAAATTTTGGTAGGAGTGGGCCACACTGTTGCTGTGGCAGGAGGTGTCCCCATGAGGTTTTTTCTAATTCCAAGAGGTTTTCCATCTGAATTAGTGCTGGAACTTTGTGAAATTTTTCTTTGTTTGCAGCCCGGGAGTTTGACTTGATGGCAACACAGGCAAATTCCTAATGGAATGAATATTTAAGAATGAATACGGAATTCCCTATCCCTGTGAGGTTTTGGGGTTTTTGTGTTTTTTAAAGTGTAACCTGGCACCCTAGTTGGAAAGAATACAGTAACAGTTCAGTGCTTGTGGTATTTTTACTCACTTGCTGTGATTTGAAGAAACAAGCAGTCTTTACGTCTCTTGTGTAATCCACTGGTCAGTTATATCTAATTAGGAAGATGAGTTCTCTGCACATTTTTTTCTCAGATTAGGAATACATATTTTAATGCTTCATCATGTTCCATTATAATGTCCAACATTTGAATACATTTACTGCCTTTTTGAGATTGCTTAGCAAATGCATTTAGCTGAACTCTGCTGGTATTCTGAGTTGACCAGGAAGTGCAAAAACCAAGCTATTAAAACTCAGTGAGGAGCAAGATACAACCCTGATCAAAACACTGCTAGTTCAGACTCAGGAATATACTACCAATGTTTTTGCTGCCTTTGGGCTGCCCGGAGCACAGGAGCCATTTGTTATACTAGTGAAGCTTGTGTTCTTTGTTAGACTTAAGGCAATGTGATTCTTGGAATTTGGCTCCAAACAAACAGTCCCAGAATGTTATGTGTATATTATGATTTTAAGGAGAGGAGGAGGCTGGTGGCTTGGCTTGGCTTTTTTTTTCTTTTTTTTTCTTTTTTTTTCTTTTTTTTTCTTTTTTTTTTTTTTTTTTTTTTTTTTTTTTTTTTTTTTTTTTTTTTTTTTTTTTTTTTTTTTTTTTTTTTTTTTTTTTTTTTTTTTTTTTTTTTTTTTTTTTTTTTTTTTTTTTTTTTTTTTTTTTTTTTTTTTTTTTTTTTGTTTTTTTTTTTTTTTTCATGAGAATTGACACAGTGTGGGACATGCTATGAATGTGAACTTGGTATCTTTCCTCAGTAAATTGGATGATGTTAGAGGTTCTATTTTGCTTATTTGGTTCTTTT